TTGGGTGCTGTGCTGTGGGGAGGGGCTCTCGGATACCCCCGAGGGGTGGCCCCAGCAGCTCTGTGCAGGGGGCCTGGGCCTGGGGTTATTGTTCATGCCACCCCTCTAGGGACTGTGGCTGCTGGCCAGCCATTTAGGAGTGCCCGGGCCTCTTCCGGGGCTAGTGTGTGCCTTTTGCTGTGGGGTGCACTCAGGACAAGAGGTGCACAGTGGCTCAGGAGCCACCAGCCCCACCCTCTGGCCTCACCTTAGTATCTGCGGCCACTGTTCCTGCCTGTGATGGCTGAAGTCACATCAGGGGCCCTGTGTCCAGCTGTGCCGAATGTTCTAGATAAGTCCAGTGGTCTCACTGGCTCTCAAGGACCATGGTGGTCTAGCAGACCTCGCCTCAGCCCTGTCCCTTTGATAGAGCCAGAAGGGGGTGGTAGAGGTCTCACGGGCCAGCTGGTGAGGCCCTGACTCAGTGCCAGCTACCCTGCTGGTCACGGTGCAGCCCTGCAGCACCAGGCAGTGTCTCTGGGCCCTGTGTAGCTTGGGAGCAGGGGGCAGCGGGGGCCACACGCACCGGGTAGGCCTCTGCACCTTGAGCCCACTCAGGATGGATGGACCCGAAGCCTCGCTCCACCTGCCTCCACGTGGCCCCCTCTCCCCCTGGAGTTAATTCCCAGTGTGAGACCCCAGCAGGCAGCTGTGAGGCCCCCAGAGTGTGGGTGCTGGTTCCTGCCTCCTCTATCAACTTAGAAGGTGCCCAGAGGTCCTGCCCAGGTGACAGGCCAGCAAGGACCCAGGGAGTTTGGGGACAGAGCCCAGGTGCCTCGGGCAGTGGGCAGGGAGAGGCAGAGTCCTGAGCAGTTTCACAGATGTGGCCTTTGGCTCTGGGTTGAGCTCTCCAAGGTGTGGCTGGCCCACATGGACTCGAAAGTCCAGAGACCAGGTCCTGGGCCTGGGCTGGGCAGGGTTGGGTGAAGGGGCCTCAGTTTCTCTGATGCCGTCCCCCCCACCACCACAGTCCCAGCTCTAGGCTCACCTTTCATTGAGGCAACACTCTAGCAGGAGACCCCTGACAGTGGGAGAGGGCCCCACCGAGAGGCCCAGGCACAGAATGCCCAGCCACCCACCACTCAGCAATCCTGGCCGTCACCCTCAGAGCAAGGCCATACAGTTCCCTGCCCCAATTAAAAAAAAAATACCCACACACAATTTATATTTGCGTGGCATGATTGACGTACACTTTGCATATCCGTTTTGGAGCACAGTTCTCAGAGCTG